CTCTGAAATGCTTTTAAGGTTTCAGTGCAATATTAGCACTTTCTTAAAAGTAAACATGTTCAGTTTGTTATATTAGACTTGTGCCTAGTGGACAAAAAGCCCTATGTTGAATAACATTATGGTCACATATCTGAGACATTTGTGCCCTCCTTGAGTGATAAATCCATGCAAGTGTAGAACTGCACATAAATTAGCTGTACATTTTCATTTTTCAGGAGCAGAGATGTCAAATGTTGTGTTCCATAATAGAAAATAAACTGAGCTGCGCTATAAACAAGTTCTGTGATCTTGATCTGCAGTATATTGCAAAGGAAACAGAAGGATTTGTAGCTAGAGATTTTACATTGCTTGTGGATCGTGCCATACATGCATGTGTTTCTAACAGGAGAGCATGCAAAAAAGAAGGTATGTGATATATTTACAAAATCTCTACTTACATAATTTTAATTCTACCAGAGAAAACATTTGTAATAATACAAAACTGTCTTTATCTTTACATTTAATATGTATTTAATTGTTCCATTAAAAAGTGTAGTTGTTTTTCATAGGAACTACAAGTTGTTCTACTTTCTCACTGCAGTTTTTATTTCTGGGGTTTGTTTGTTTTTTTAAACAGAACTTAATCTGTCAACTTCACACTTTCAAAAAGCTTTAAAAGGTTTTACAGCATCATCTCTGAGAAATGTTAACTTACACAAACCTAAAGATATGGGTTGGGACAGGATTGGTGGCTTAAAGGATGTCCGGCAAATACTCATGGATACTATCCAGTTACCAGCAAAGGTATCCTTTTCTTTTAAACAAGGAACAGTTGCTGCAGTATTGTGCATATCATGTTTCAGAACTCTGATGAACAGTTCTTCTTTAAGGAAAGAATGGATGCTTAGGGGATCAGTATAGTACTTGGAGTCCTAACATGGAGAAGGCTAATGTGGTTTTAAGTCTTCTGCCCTTGGAACAGACCTGATGCGAAAAAAAATCTTCAGTGTGCCATAGCTAGCCCTCAGGGCCTATCTGAAATATAGCAGCTGGTGCCTTACTGCAAGTGGTCTGTGGAACTTCCCTGACATTTCCATAGTATAATGACCTCACCACTGGCATACTGCTTTTGCCTCCCGACATGCCATTTTACTCCAGGACTTGTACAAGTCTTCAGAATGTAACATTTACAACTGTCTTCTACAGTGCCTTAGCCTGGGAGTCTCCCCTTGCAGAGCCAGCATTAGGGAAAGTGGTACTCTGGCCTCGGCGAACTTGTATTTTGGTGTCATCCCTCCCTCCTCCCTACCTTCCCCCTCCTCAGCCCCTTCCCCAGTCAGCCAGAGCTGCTGCAGGCAGAGGTAGAGGCAGGCAGGAAGGAATGCAGTCCAGCAGGGAGCCAGAGCAGCATCATGCACTAGGTAGACAGGCACTGCTGCTACTGTGCAGGAGGAAGGCAGATAGACCTTCCCACCCAAACATGCCCACCCTGGCTCCTTCTAAGCAGTAGCTGGAGGTATGCCAGGCAAGCTGGTCTGGGCACTGCTCCTCCTGCCTGGGACACAGATCAGCTGGGATGGGGCAGGAGAGAGCACTGCTGTGAGGATGGGCTGCTTGTGTGTGTGTGTGTTTGGTGCCCCTTGACCACAGCGCCCTAGGCAGTTGCCCATGCTGCCCACCCCTAAGGCTGGCTCTGCCCCCTTGGCTGGTATTAGTTTATGCTACTCTAGTCCCCCTTTATGCTATTCTAGCCAGCCCAAAAGCACCAGAGTCAGTTTGATCTACTTACCCTGAAACTCTTCCAGTAAATGGTCAGAGTATTTTGCAAAGGAAAGTGTTAGGTTACTGCAATATAGGTATAATGTTCTATAGGTATAATGTAGCCAATAAGTACATCAGTCAAGCTCTTTTTGATGATAATGTGGATGAAATAAGTAATTCTGCAAGAATATCCATAGAAACTAGCACTAGTCAGAACTCAGTTATTACAACATGTTATCAATAATTACATCTTAAAGAATGGATGCTACCCTGATTACTTCTTTTCAGTATCCAGAACTCTTTGCAAAACTGCCCATACGACAGAGAACAGGAGTTTTGTTATATGGACCTCCTGGAACAGGAAAAACCCTCTTAGCTCACGTAGTTGCCCGAGAGAGTAGAATGAATTTTATCAGCATCAAGGTAACAAAATATTGATGATTTATTAGCTCTTTGGGGTAGAATGAAATTCCCAAAAGAATTATGCTGTCTCGGGGGCATGGGGGAATGGATGGATGGATACACAGGGACAGGAATGTAAAATGTGCATAAAATGTATATGCAAAAACAAAATACCAGAGTAAGAAACTCCAAAATAAGGTCATATGGTCACTTAGTGTCCAGAAAGAAAGTGTTACATATTTTTAATTCCCAATCCTTATGGAATTTTAACAAAATTATTAGTAGTTATCTGCTAAGTAAGAATTAACGTGTTTGGCAAAGAAAGGTCATTGCTCAAAAATTTTCTGAACTGGAAGATAAGTGTAGAGCTTGGAAATCTGAATATCTAATCATTCCTGCCTGATTTCATGGTGTGGCTGTGTAGTAATCACAAGAGGGGCAGGGGTTGTGTGCTGTTCATTGTAAACTATTTTTTAGGAAACTTTGTCCCATTTTCTTAGTTTCACATCCATTATATAATTATCCTAACTTTGGCTGCCAGAGGTAAAATAATTTAAATGCATCTTCAAAGTACAGGGGAATCCGTAGTCCTGTGACACTGTAGCATATTTCCCCTTGTAATGGGAAATCTGTGAAACGGTGGAATTAAAATCACCTGGCAAAGTTTGAGGGGCATTTTGTTTAATTTGCCCATCATTGCTTTCCTATTATTTGAAATTATCTTTTGCTAGCATAAATAATGGTTTCTCTGGTCCTAGAGTATCTCACCTTGTTAACAGATTAAGGTTAAGAAATTAAGGTAATTTTAATTAAAAGAAAATCACAAGTCTCCTTCTCTTTTTGTTTTTACAGGGACCAGAGCTACTTAGCAAATATATTGGAGCAAGTGAACAAGCAGTTCGAGAACTCTTTATCAGGTTGGTCCTATTAAGATTTGTGGGTTTATAAATAGATTCTGCCATTTGATAATAAAAGAAATTATTTGAATTTTCTTGTCAGTAGCATGATAGACCTGGCATAGTGACCTTAATCATAGACCTGAAATAGCCAGACCTGCTGAATCATGAAGCAGACTTTTAGACAAAACAGCAAATGTATTTTACATTTTTAAGCAGGTTTGTTCTGTTTAACCAAAAGTTACTAGATGTATTGGCGTTGGGTTGTATTTTATTCCAGGGCACAGGCAGCTAAGCCTTGCATTGTTTTCTTTGATGAGTTTGATTCTATTGCTCCTCGCCGAGGTCATGATAATACTGGAGTAACAGACCGGGTTGTTAACCAGCTGTTGACTCAGCTAGATGGAGTGGAAGGCTTACAAGGTAATAATTCAGCTGTATGTATCTTTCTCAGGCAAGAATTCAGCAGATACTAATGAAGTTCTCCTGATTTTTCTAAGGGGTTTATGTGTTGGCTGCTACTAGTCGCCCTGATTTGATTGACCCTGCTCTGTTAAGACCAGGTAGACTGGATAAATGCATATACTGTCCACCTCCTGATCAGGTAAAAAAGGAAAAAAGCAAAATACTGTACCATATGTGAAAGGAAAAAATTCTGAGTAGTGGACAGGATTCTCCACTGCATTATACTTTGTGTTGTCATTGACACCTGAAAAACTAACTTGATCCACTACTGCATAACTCCAGTTTTATGCAATGCCACTCCATTGACTTCTTTGTCATTGCAGTGGTATAAAAATGACTCATTGTATTACTCCAGTCCAGCAAGTTTAAAGTGGACACTAAACCTGACGAAATTAAGAGAGTTCTTTGCTCCCTTTCCATGAATTTAACCAAAGGCACAGTGTTGAAAGCAGTGGAGAATTACTGTATTTACTCAAATACAAGACAAGGTCTTTTTTCTCATTCTGCATGGTTGGGAAAAGGGCCCATTGCCATGGATTCTAGTAAAGGCTGGGGTGGGACATAGGCAGGGCATGCAGGCATCTGCTTCAGCTTTAACGCTGACCAATCCCCGCCCCCTTTCCCCATCACCTCCGCCCCCGCCCATGTGCTCCCTGCAGTCTAAATCCACTGTTTTTAGACTTGTGTTTATAAAAGGAATGTCACCTTTCAGATGTTGTAATGCAGTGTTACAAGTGTCATGTTGGATTTTGAACGGTGATGTTAATATTGTTATATCTTCATATAGCTGCCTGTTGTTTTCCACAAACTTGGGACCAAATCTGAGTCCTGTGGACAAACTCTTCATAAAAGAGGGTTTGTCTACAGGAAATATGTTGCTATTGGAAGTCGGGAGATTCAGGCTTTTCTTTTCACCTACAAGAAGGGCCAAAATGACTAATTAAGCTGGTATAGCAAAACATTCTGTTTCCGCATGCAAATTAGTGACCCAGGAAATCTGCTCTTGGCATTGAACCATGAGCCACTTCCATTCCCACTCTCTGTTTCCCTTCTGTATTCTCAACAAGGAGGGTATGGAGTCCAGTTGATTGGGCTCTTCGTTATTTGTCCCCAAAAACTGATATTCCCATAGAGCATTATGAACCCCCGAAGGGCTTGGTCCAGCACTTTATGCAGTAAATGGAAGGACAGTCATTGACTTAGGTTTTGCATGTGTCCTGAAGACACTGCAAAGATTGTCTCTCTGATTATCTGTGATTTGAAAATTATTGCTGTTAATTTTCAATTTATGTGGCTATCTTCACAGATGACACCCCTTTTCATTATCGTGTACACAAGAAAGATAACCATGCATAATAGGATGCAAACACCACCTAATCAAATATGTCATTTTTATTCCTAAAGTACAGGAAATTAACTCTTCAGACCAAAAGACTCATCTTCCCTTTTTTTGGACACTTCTGTTCTAGGCTAAGTACAGACAGTCAAAAAGCCTCGGGCTGAATTGATTCAATCTTTGCAGGTTTCTCGAAACTGCACGGAGCAGAGCAAGTCCTTCAGCCATGCCTGGCTGGCTGAGGAGGGGGTGTGGCTGAGGGAATCAACTGGCTCCTGGTAGGCAGGGGGAAGAAGGAAAGCCCTACTGTAGGCTTTCTTCCCACCCCCCCTACCCTGGAGGCTGAGGAGGGGACATGGCTGGGGGAATCACCCGGCAGGAAGGGGGAGGGAGGAAAGGCCTGCTGTAGGCTTCTCCCCTCTGTGCTGGGAAGACCCTAGGTGGGGGTCCGGTGCCAGGTGGGGGGGCTTCCGCCATGCGTCCTCCTCTGCTGGCTGGAAGAGTGATAATGTTCTAGCTAGGGAGCAGAGGCGTGGGGTAGACCCTGCTCCCCTGGAGCAGACAGGACAGCCCCTAACTGCAAAGCATCCTGGGATGCTGGGGGATTGTGGGTTAACTTGAACCAGGAGGGGGTCTAGAACAAAAGTTCCATAAACTGGCTTGACCTAAATCTGACTTAAGTCTGATAATGCATCCAGCCAGGTTTATCTTAACCCAGGTTTGGCCATTTTGGAAGTCATTTAAGTGCACTGAACTTCTGTTCTGTTACAGGTTTAAACTGGTTTCTGATCACTTAAACTGATTTATGTATAACTTCTGTCCCTGTGTTTAGAAAGGGGACCACAAGTAAAACTGCAAATTTAGTTATATTTACAATACTTATCTGAAAGTTCATAATTCATGGTACATTTAAAAATATTAGCTACTGACAATATAATTAGAGAATTATGGATCATTAGATATTTTTTTCCATAAACAGTTCAAGAAAAGATTATATGGTTGTAATTTAGAATAGATTGTTTACTATGACACATGATCCTATATGTGCTGTTTTAATTATACCAGTATTGTCTTTCAAAATACATTTCTGCATATTAATTTTGACCTGTTAGAAAGTTGCTCATAAAGCACAGTGCTAACATACTGCAAAGCAATTAAAAGGAAGAAAAAGAAACAGATTACTTTTATTTACAGTACTTTTCTTCTATAGACTTCTCGTTATGAAATCTTAAAGGCCCTCAGTCATTCTCTGCCTTTGGCAAATGATGTGGACTTACAATATTTGGCAGGAAAAACAGAGTATTTCACAGGAGCAGACTTGGAAGCTTTATTATACAATGCTCAATTAGAGGCAGTACATTCTAGCTTGGGTTCAAGCTTACCACAAGTAAGTACACTGAAATGTAAAGCATTTCCTTTGACCACTGTTTTGTTACTCATCTCTTTTGAAGAAGGCAACTTTGTCAAAAATAGATTTCCCCTATTTCTGGTGAAATAATATTTAATAAAATTACTTCCTTTTTTGTAATTATTGTAATTTCTAGATTCTGTCAGAGGTTAAATCTTATTCTGTTTGCTACATAGTAATAATTGTAGTATTATCTCTCTCTGACAAAATTATTATTTTTTTAAATATATTTTGCCACTTTGAAAATTTGGGGCGTATTTAATGTAAAATTGATTTATTCTTGCCAAACACATTTGCCATTTGCATGGGCCCTACTTGCCTAAGGACTGCCTTCTGTCTTATGCTCTATCGCATAGTCCCTAAGGTCAGCTAAGTGTAACCTCCTGCAAGTACCATCAGTATGCCAAGGGCACTTAGTGAAAACACATGGGACGTCATTATCAACAGTCACTCATCAGCTCTAGAACTCCCTCCTTATTGAGGTCTGCCAGAGCCTGAACTTCATTCAGAAGCAGTGCAAGACCCTCCTATTTAGGCAGGCACTTAGCAAACAAAACAAGGCTTAGGATATCACTGAGGGGATTTCAGTTGTATGTTGATAAAAGTTGCCTTTGAAGTTTTTTTTTTCTCTTGTTCATTCTTCTGTTTTGTATGTTGTTCTGTTC